CAATATTCCGGGATAAGATACATACAATATTCCGGGATAAGATACATACAATATTCCGGGATAAGATACATACAATATTCCCGGGATAAGATACATACAATATTCCGGGATAAGATACATACAATATTCCGGGATAAAGATACATACAATATTCCGGGATATGATACATACAATATTCCGGGATAAGATACATACAATATTCCGGGATAGATACATACAATATTCCGGGATAAGATACATACAATATTCCGGGATAAGATACATACAATATTCCGGGATAAGATACATACAATATTCCGGGATAAGATACATACAATATTCCGGGATAAGATACATACAATATTCCGGGATAAGATACATACAATATTCCCGGGGATGGGATAAGATACATACAATATTCCGGGATAAGATACATACAATATTCCGGGATAAGATACATACAATATTCCGGGATAAGATACATACAATATTCCTGGGATAAGATACATACAATATTCTGGGATAAGATACATACAATATTCTGGGATCTGGGAGATACATACAATATTCCGGGATAAGATACATACAATATTCCGGGATAAGATACATACAATATTCCTGGGATAAGATACATACAATATAAGATACATACAATATTCCGGGATAAGATACATACAATATTCCGGGGATAAGATACATACAATATTCCGGGATAAGATACATACAATATTCTGGGATATGATACATACAAATATTCCTGGGATAAGATACATACAATATTCCTGGGATAAGATACATACAATATTCCGGGATAAGATACATACAATATTCCCGGGATAAGATACATACAATATTCCGGGATAAGATACATACAATATTCCGGGATAAGATACATACAATATTCCGGGATAAGATACATACAATATTCCGGGATAAGATACATACAATATTCCGGGATAAGATACATACAATATTCTGGGATAAGATACATACAATATTCCGGGATAAGATACATACAATATTCCGGGATAAGATACATACAATATGCCTTTTGTGTTCATTGAGCGGAGGCTGACGGCCTCTGACAGCCCAGAGCCCAGCGGCATGCGGGGATTTGTAGTTGGGATTCAATCTGAGTAATTTTATTCACTGCTTATAAAACTACATCTTCCAGAATGCTGCACTCCAGAGGAGCCAGAGAGCTCCACAGCTCAGGCCGGGTTAACCCCAACCTGCGCAGTTCTTCCCATGCATCACATTGATACAGTCCAATACTGAATCATAATACAGAGGATGTCTTCACAAAGTCCATCCATTATAGTGACCCTACATGCTTCGATTTTATTATTCGATCGATCGAAATGATCAAATTCCCAAATAATGGAATAGCCACAACTTCCCTACCAATCAATTACAGGTGTCCATAGAGGCTTTGATTTTTTTTTTATCTGATTGATTTGCCTTTTGATTATGATGATCACATCTGGAAATTATGGAATAGCCATTACTTCCCCTCTGATTGATTTGTGGTGGCTATAGAGGTTTTGATTTTTTTTTTATCTGATCAATGTGTGATCTGATCCAAACAATTGAATCTGCAATCAAATAACCATAACTTGCCTTCCAATTAAATTCGATCAAACTGAGTTGATTAGCCAGGATGGATTATCAGTCAGTTTACATTGATCAGCTGGAAAGAGATACTTTTTTTCATCAATACAATTGTATTTTAATCAATCAAATTCGGAAATTACATGGTGAAAACAGAGATGTGATCAATAATTTATGATGGGAAGATGATTGTAATCTTAACTATTAATGGAAATCCACTTCCCTGATTGTAGAATATTGATCAAATGGGTTATTGACTATAGATTGAGTATTCCTATTGGAAGAGATTGATTGGAAAAAAAATTGATTATTTTTTGAAGCGTGTATGGTCACCATTAGATTTGGATCAAATTTGATTGGCCAAGGCAAATGATCAATTATCTTCCATCAAACAGCAGCACTGAGATACTTTGAATATATAAATCGAATTGTAATCGATGGATCAGATTATGAGAATAAGTATAGATTTGTATAGCGAGCGCTTACTGTAGTCAAAATCAAATACAAGCCGCTAGAACACCAAAAACGGCAACCAACATAACCTTCCAAGACAACATATAGAGAAAAGGTGCAGCGCTATTAGTATAAATGATGAAATATCAATATTGGTTCAAAATAACAATATTGAATCATAATCTTCATAAATTTGTTATTCAATCTAGCGTCCAAAAACACAAAAGAATGTAACGTGCAGATTCTATCCGGTCTCATTCCTGGATAAGGATAAGTGATCCGAAGGTGAACAGGAAAATAAATGAAATGCGCACTCACCAGAAGTGCTTTTATAAAACGCATGAAAGAAGTTTTCCTTTCTCATCAGATACATCTAGGTCAGGGGTAGGCAATCTGCGGCTCTCCAGCTGTTGTGGAACTACATTTCCCATGAGGCATTGCAAAGACCAGTTACAGCTATGACTTGCAGAGGCATGATGGAACCTGTAGTCCTGCAACAGCTGGAGAGCCGCAGTTTGCCCACCCCTGATCTAGGTCCTCGACTCTCAGGTCAAGCTGCGTTCTCTGGTCCTCACCATTCATCCATCGTGGCCAGGTTCCCTGATTCCTCAGACATTCATGCACCTCTGGGGTCCCTCCTTAAGCTTGGTACTGCGAAAGGGTGGTGCTCATAAAGAACCCAATAAGGGACATCACATAGCGTGATACTGCGTAAAATACTTTATTTCCAAAGCAGAGGTGAAAAAAAAACGAAGAAACAAAAATACTGACCTAGTCATTTCAAATGGCCACCAGCGGTGGCTAAGATGTCCAAATGCTGCAGCCCCCCTGATGCGTTTCGTGCTATGCACATCCTCAAAGGGTACAGGGCTTCAATTATGAGAATACATGGTGAAAACAGAGATACGACTGATGCTTTACCATTGTAAGATGATTGTATCATAACTGTTGATCAAAGTCCACTTCCCTGGTTGTGGCATATCAATTGAATAGGTTGTCAACTATAGATCGCTTATTTCCATTGAAAGAAATTGATCGGAAAAGAAATTGATCATTTTTTAAAGTGTTTATGAACACCATTGCATTTAGGTCAAATTAAATCAGCCTGGGCAAAAAATATCAACTACTTTGCATTGAACAGCAGCACTGAGATTCTTACAATCATATTATAATCAATCAGATCATAAGATTGTAATGGTGGCCATAGACAACAAAATAGAGTTTTTTTAGGGGGTATTTAATAACTACTGGATTATTTTTTATATAAAGAAAAAAAAGTTTAAAAAAATTTGGGGAAAAAAAAACGGTTTCCCTTACATTCTGTTAAAAAACATATCGAATAAAAAGGGGTTAATGTACAGGTCATATACAGTGAGCGGTGGAGGTGAAGGGGTTAAAGTGCAGGTTATATAGAGTGAGCGGTGGAGGTGAAGGGGTTAAAGTGCAGGTCATATACAGTGAGCGGTGGAGGTGAAGGGGTTAAAGTACTGGTCATACACAGTGAGCGGTGGAGGTGAACGGGTTAAAGTACAGGTCATATACAGTGAGCGGTGGAGGTGAACAGGTTAAAGTACTGGTCATACACAGTGAGCGGTGGAGGTGAAGGGGTTAAAGTACTGGTCATACACAGTGAGCGGTGGAGGTGAAGGGGTTAAAGTGCAGGTCATATACAGTGAGCGGTGGAGGTGAAGGGGTTAAAGTACAGGTCATAGAGTGAGTGAGCGGTGGAGGTGAAGGGGTTAAAGTACAGGTCATAGAGTGAGTGAGCGGTGGAGGTGAAGGAGTTAATGTACAGGTTATATAGAGTGAGCGGTGAAGGTGAAGGGGTTAAAGTACAGGTTTATATAGAGTGAGCGGTGGAGGTGAAGGGGTTAAAGTACTGCTCATATACAGTGAGCGGGGGAGGTGAAGGGGTTAAAGAGCAGGTCATATACAGTGAGCGGTGGAGGTGAACGGGTTAAAGTGCAGGTCATATAGAGTGAGCGGTGGAGGTGAAGGGGTTAAAGTGCAGGTCATATAGAGTGAGTGGTGGAGGTGAAGGGGTTAATGGACAAGTCATACACTCACTGGCCTCTTTGGTAACACAAATTGCTAATCAGCCAATCACACAGCAGCAGTTCAATGCATTTAGGCATCTGGACGTGGTGAAGACGACTTGGTGAAATTCATACCAAGCATCAGAATGGGGAAGAAAGGGGATTTAAGTGAGTTTCAACATGGCATGGTTGTTAGTGCCAGATGAGTATTTTAAAAAACTGCTGATCTGCTGGTATTCCCCCCCCCCCCCCCCCCCCCCCGCACAACCATCTCTAGGGATTACAGAGAATGGTCCAAAAAAGAGAAAATAGAGAGAGGCAGTTGTGTGAAGGAAAATGCCTGGTTGATGTCAGAGGTCAGAGGAGAATGGGCATGACAGCTGATATTATTGAGCCCTGGAGAAAGAACAGAAGTGGCCAAGTCAACCCCCAAGGAGCTGGTGAGAGGCCGCAGGCGATACCCCACCACACCTTACTTACAGGAACACTTTTGCCTACTGGGGACACCATTCAGACACCTATACCCAAGTTCATTTTGAGTGCTCCAACACCAGACTTCCACCCCAACACACTGGCCAGTAGAGGAGGGTTTGCCAAAGACTGCCGGACCATTGTATACACACAAAAAATATTTTTTAAAACACATTTCAAATATACTGGATGTCTTTAAAAATACAAATCTACATTTTTGGAATGGATTTAACAATATATGTTAAAATTACTTTTTTTTATATGTTAAAAAAAATCTGAAGAATATATTTAAAAAAAATATATTTTTTTTTGAGCAAAAAAAACCCCTATAAAAAGCGCAAAAGCAAAAAACGCAGCAAAATGCCGCTAAATGCTAATACAAAAATGCTGAAAAACTCTGGATGTGACCTAATGTGCCAATGGTGGGAGGGGCTTAAAGGAGTATGGTTTAACCACTTCCCGTCCGGCCGCTGTATATAAACGGCTGGATGGTGGCAGTGCAGGGGAGAGTTGCCGTTCATAAACGGCGCCCGCCATTTTGGATTGTGTGCGCTCCCTGGGAGCGCTCGGCACCGATCCGATTGCTGTACGGGACCTCTGTGTGAGGTCCCAATTCATGTGATCACTGATTGGCCAATCAGTAATCACATGAATAGGTCAGTAAGATGTCACTTCTGACATCATTGCTTACTACTAGTGAAATCTATGACTGATCACAGAGATCACATGGTACAGGGCTATTCACAGCAGCCTTGTACCATGTGACAAGCTGTGACCAATCACAGCTCTCACAGTATTTCTCAATGGCTGCAAGAATGCAGCCAGAGAGAAGGAGAAATGATTGCTTTTACAGCCTTTATGGGTGTAAAATCAATCAGTGTAAAAAAAAAAAAAAAAAAATCTTCATCACCCCCCCCACAAGTAGTACAATGTCACCATGGTGACACTGTACTGCTAGGGTGACAGTATGTAAAAAAAACATAAATAATACTATAAAAAAATAAAATAAAAATGTAAAAAAAAATATATATTTTTTTAAATTATAATTTTTGGTTATAAACTAGATTGGGTTATTTATTTATTTTTACTAAAAAGATAACGGAATACATTTTGGCCAAGATTTATGCAGAAATATGATTTATTTGCAAAATTTTATAAGAAATTTTATAAGAAAAACACTTTTTTAAAAAAATTTTTGGACTTTTTAATTTATATAGCAAAAACAAATAAAAATCAAGTTACTAAAATAAAATAAAGTTTTATCTGTCTCAAAAAAATGCTAAAAAATTCATATGGGTACAGTGTTGCATGACCGCGCAATTGTCATTCAAAGTGTGATAGCGCTGAAAGCTGAACATTGGCCTGGACTGGAAGGGGGTGAAAGTGTCCGGACTGGAAGGGGGGTGAAAGTGTCCGGATTGGAAGGGGGTGAAAGTGTCCGGACTGGAAGGGGGGTGAAAGTGTCCGGACTGGAAGGGGGGGTGAAAGTGTCTGGACTGGAAGGGGGTTAAAGTGTCCGGACTTGGAAGGGGGGGAAACTGGAAGGGGGGTGAAAGTGTCCGGACTGGAAGGAGGTTAAAGTGTCTGGACTGGAAGGGGGGTGAAAGTGTCTGGACTGGAAGGGGGGGGGTGAAAGTGTCCTGGACTGAAAGGGGGTGAAAGCGTCTGGACTGGAAGGGGGTTAAAGCGTTCTGGACTGGAAGGGGTGTGAAAGTGTCCGGACTGGAAGGGGGTTAAAGTGTCCGGACTGGAAGGGAGGTGAAAGTGTCCGGACTGGAAGGGGGTGAAAGTGTCCGGACTGGAAGTGGGGGGGGTGAAAGTGTCCGGACTGGAAGGGGGTGAAAGTGTCCAGACTGGAAGGGGGTGAAAGTGTCCAGACTGAAAGGGGGTGAAAGTGTCCGGACTGGAAGGGGGGTGAAAGTGTCCTGGACTGGAAGGGAGTGAAAATGTCCGGACTGGAAGGGGGTGAAAGGGGGTGAAAGCGTCCGGACTGGAAGGGGGTGAAAGTGTCCGGATTGGAAGGGGGTGAAAGGGTCCGGACTGGAAGGGGGGAAAGCGTCCGGACTGGAAGGGGGGTGAAAGCGTCTGGACTGGAAGGGGGTGAAAGTGTCCGGACTGGAAGGGGGTGAAAGCGTCTGGACTGGAAGGGGGTGAAAGTGTCCGGACTGGAAGGGGGGTGAAAGTGTCCGGACATGAAGTGGTTAACCCCTTGACGCCGACGTAACACAAATATGCGGCCTCACGGACCTGGGCTTTTTTCCGTGGGGGCCACATATTTGCGTACCTGTCTTTGTGTTGGGAGCGCGCCCCTCAGCGCGCTCCCAGCACCGAGACCGCGGTGTCACTGAGAGCACCGGGTCTCGTTCTAACGATCGGGACCCGGGACTCCCGGTCCCGGGTCACATGATCGCTGTGATAGCCTCTGATTGGCTATCACAGTGATCAGTCACTGTGCAGCCCGGCCCCCTTGTTTTTTTTTTCTCTCTCTCTCTATGAATGGAGAAGAGAGATACATTGTATCTCTCGAACTCCTGTCAGAGAGAAGAAAAAAAAAAAGTTTGTAAAAAAAAAAAAAAAAAAAAGATAAAATAAATAAATATTAAAAAAATAAAAGAAAAAATAAAAAAAAAAACCTAGATCAAGGTTTGATCTAGTTCAGTGCCAGGGTTAGTGTTTAGGTCAGGGTCAAGGACAAAGGTCAGGGTCAAAGGTCAAGGTCAGGATTTAAAAAAAATTGGTATCAGTGTCAGTTAGTGTTAATGTCAGTGTCAGTTAGTGTTAGTGTGTTTTAGGTAAAAAAAAAAAAAAAAAAAAGACAAAAACAAAATGCGCACTATGGTTTCTGGGCTGTACTACGGGTACAAACAACAAATAACATACACATATATGGTATCGCTGCGATCGTCAAGAGCTGGAGAATTTATTTTGGGTTGCTGTTTGGTGGTAGGTTATGGTCATAACAAGAAACACATAGCTAAATTAAAAAAAAAAAGGATTTTTTTTTACTATTTTTGGCCAGTTTTCCTTTGATAATAAAAAAAATCAGGAGATATCCATTACCATTTACCACCAAATGAAAGCCCAATTTGTCCTGAAAAAATCAAGGTATAATCCACCTGGATGTGCAAAGTAGTTGTGATGATATGTGCGGTTTTGCTATCACATGTCAACGGTGCAGAATTGTGCTTAGGCATTTACATTTGTTTTACCCTTAGGCGTGAAGGGGTTAATAATACCTGAGCATACATTGCTCTGGGTCAAGAGAGCAGGCTCAGGTGTGCACTGCACAAGCAACGGCAAGGCAGCAAAAATCGGGGACTGTTCCCAGAACGAGGGGACATCTAGTCATCCTAGTGTACAACTGAGCCCAGCTGCCTTTACAGCTTAAGGGGCAGGGTGGTAAAAATGTGGCTCCAAGGAGAGCTGCAGATACTAACACATGGCTCCTTGATCTTTTTCTAGCCTGATTGGATATAACACGTGTAGGCGGTAGTGCTGCCACTTTATTATGTAACATGTTTCTATGGCTGGAAATCCCCGGACATTTGGATTTCCCCGTGGCCATTGCTGAAAGAGATTTCTGGAAATGTTAAGATGTGGATTCGGGATGAAAGGATCGGGGTGTCTCCGCCACTCTCTGATGTCTTCCCTGGTAATCTAGAAAGAGATGGAAATTCATATATCTGACCCGCATTTCAGATCCAAGACTGAAGACTTGATTTCTGTTGTAAAAGGATTCTGATCTAAGAAGGCTGGGCTGTGCTCCTTTGTTACCGTACCCTGTATGGTTATACTGTCTTATGGGGTCCCAAGACCTATACTGTCTTATGGGGTCCCAAGCTCTATACTGTCTTGTGGGGTCCCAAGCCCTATACTGTCTTATGGGGTCCCAAGCTCTATACTGTCTTATGGGGTCCTAAGCCCTATACTGTCTTATGGGGTCCCAAGCTCTATACTGTCTTATGGGGTGCCAAGCCCTATACTGTCTTATGGGATCCCAAGCTCTATACTGTCTTATGGGGTCCCAAGCCCTATACTGTCTTATGGGGTCCCAAGCCCTATACTGTCTTATGGGGTCCCAAGCCCTATACTGTCTTGTGGGGTCCCAAGCCCTATACTGTCTTATGGGGTCCCAAGCCCTATACTGTCTTGTGGGGTCCCAAGCCCTATACTGTCTTATGGGGTCCCAAGCCCTATACTGTCTAATGGGGTCCCAAGCTCTATACTGTCTTATGGGGTCCTAAGCCCTATACTGTCTTATGGGGTCCCAAGCTCTATACTGTCTTATGGGGTGCCAAGCCCTATACTGTCTTATGGGATCCCAAGCTCTATACTGTCTTATGGGGTCCCAAGCCCTATACTGTCTTATGGGGTCCCAAGCCCTATACTGTCTTATGGGGTCCCAAGCCCTATACTGTCTTGTGGGGTCCCAAGCCCTATACTGTCTTATGGGGTCCCAAGCCCTATACTGTCTTACGGGGGTCCCAAGCCCTATACTGTCTTACGGGGTCCTAAGTCCTATACTGTCTTACGGGGTCCCAAGCCCTATACTGTCTTATGGGGTCCCAAGCCCTATACTGTCTTATGGGGTCCCAAGCTCTATACTGTCTTATGGGGTGCCAAGCCCTATACTGTCTTATGGGATCCCAAGCTCTATACTGTCTTATGGGGTCCCAAGCCCTATACTGTCTTATGGGGTCCCAAGCCCTATACTGTCTTATGGGGTCCCAAGCCCTATACTGTCTTATAGGGTCCCAAGCCCTATACTGTCTTATGGGGTCCCAAGCCCTATACTGTCTTATGGGGTCCCAAGCTCTATACTGTCTTATGGGGTGCCAAGCCCTATACTGTCTTATGGGATCCAAGCTCTATACTGTCTTATGGGGTCCCAAGCCCTATACTGTCTTATGGGGTCCCAAGCCCTATACTGTCTTATGGGGTCCCAAGCCCTATACTGTCTTATAGGGTCCCAAGCTCTATATTGTCTTATGGGGTCCCAAGCCCTATACTGTCTTATGGGATCCCAAGCTCTATACTGTCTTATGGGGTCCCAAGCCCTATACTGTCTTATAGGGTCCTAAGCCCTATACTGTCTTATGGGGTCCCAAGCTCTATACTGTCTTATGGGGTCCCAAGCCCTATACTGTCTTACGGGGTCCCAAGCTCTATACTGTCTTATGGGGTCCCAAGCTCTATACTGTCTTATGGGGTCCCAAGCCCTATACTGTCTTACGGGGTCCCAAGCTCTATACTGTCTTGTGGGGTCCCAAGCCGTATACTGTCGTATAGGGTCCTAAGCCCTATATACTGTCTTATAGGGTCCCAAGCCATATACTGTCTTATAGGGTCCCAAGCCATATACTGTCTTATGGGGTCCCAAGCCCTATATTGTCTTATGGGGTCCCAAGCTCTATACTGTCTTATGGGGTACCAAGCCCTATACTGTCTTATGGGGTCCCAAGCTCTATACTGTCTTATGGGGTGCCAAGCCCTGTACTGTCTAATGGGGTCCCAAGCTCTATACTGTCTTAAGGGGTCCCAAGCCCTATACTGTCTTATGGGGTCCCAAGCCCTATACTGTCTTAAGGGGTCCCAAACCCTATACTGTCTTAAGGGGTCTCAAGCCCTATGCCGTAGAAGCCATAGTTTCCATATACTAAGGGGTGTATTTATAGAAAATGTTCAGAGTGATTTGTAGGGGATGTCCCAGCACAGAGGTGCATGTGCGTCAGTTCATAGAGCTTGCACTTCCACCAATACTTTGCATTGGCGCCTACAGTCCCCAAACTGGTG